TATCCACCGAGGCTTGTGACAAAAAGCATACTATGCAGTTTACCGCAAAAGAAATTGCAGATCCTAAGGTCTCGTCAACCACTGAATCTGTGGATTTCCAAAATGACGACTCCCATTCAAACGAGTCAACAAGCGTGTCCAATGTGTGATTGATTATCATGCGCGACGACCGATGCAGTATGGAATTATTTTTAGATTGTGTTCATTGGAGCTTTATGGACGGGTACTGCCAGGGTGTCCAGCCAATAGGCAGGAGAACCATTAGGGTTCTTAACCAAAGCCTTTAGTTCTGACAAGAACCTAACTGCAAGGCAGCTGTTAAGGCGAATTGGAGACCGATTAACATGGATCAATTATTCTTCCAACACGTTTTACCGATTGAGACGCCGACTCAAGTCAAACCCCCAACATGGAGGACCAGGTGACTGGACTTTGTCTGACCTCTACTCTTCGACCTTTCAGGCATGATTAGATCTTTGGCTCGACAAAAGCCATCCTGTGTAGCTCGTTGGGTCATAGAGGTGCACAAGCCATCACACCACGTCAAGGTGCAGTCTCGTCGTGACGGCCATCTAATTGGATCAATTGCTCCTCCAAAGTTTTGTACTGACTGAGAATGGAATGCGAGTTAAACCAAAGTCTTATGTACCAAGAGACTGGACTTACACTAAGCCCTACTCTTCGACCTTCCAGGCATAATTAGATCTTTGACTTAACGAAAGGTATCCTGTGTATAAGCCATCACACAACGCCAAAATTTAGTCTCATTGTGAACTAACAAATTAGCATCTTAGCCCAGGGACCCACATCCTGAAGCAATTCACGCACGTGTTTTTGCTAGGGTCCTCTTCTGACTAATAGATTTGAGATAGGATATAAAACTACCCCAAGTATTAATCCGAAAATGCACACGCGCGGAGTCCGGTGTCGCTCAACCAAAGTCAAGGGAGGAAAAAGCTACGCTTCGGAAACAGACTTGATCCAAAACAATCGACCAACCACGAAGCAGAATGAAATTAGATCTCGGAAGTCGGATACAACTGGATCGAAACCTCACAATAAATACTATCACTCAGTGCTCGCTTTCTCCTTCTCAATATAAATTTATATGCTCCGCACTAGGTTTGTTAGCTCCGGTTCATGACCGCTGCGTGTAGAAAATAAATGATCGTCGTACTCGAGGACCACTTTCTGCACTATTCTCAAGCATTAGTCGGCTGTGCCATTCCGAAGCTCAGTGAGTGTTTGCTAATCGCGGTGGCGGCATTTAACGGGCCATGTATTACTCATTAAAATGAAAAGGTTTCTCCGTCGTGTTGTTAACCGGGTCGAAGAGAGTTTGAAAGTGGGATATGTTCTGGAATGAAGGTGTGATAACCTTGTTGATACCGGTGGTCCAGTGCTTCCTGATTCGAGACTTCGTGATCATCCCAACCAATGATCTGAAGTTGTGAGTTACATGACTGAATGTCATACGTAATGGTCCTTGTCCATCTGCTCAATTTCTAATCACCTAATTTGGTCACAGCTTTTCGTTTAGTCCTTAAAGTGGTTGATCAAACGCATGAGAAAAACAAAAGACGCACGGTTACTTGTTATGAAGAATAATCTGAACGGGACCAAAAAGATGGAGCATTAAGCTGTGAGGTCCGTGACGTAATGAAATGTCAAACAAAATGCCATGGCATTGCCAATCCCTCAAATGACATTCATACCGGATACCCATGGTCCTAAGAGCTAAAGACTGCATGCCCGTGTGAGCTCCATGACGACCAGATCGGTCACGTGATCGTCCCTCCATATCACCTGAGGGTATTCGTCCGGATGTCGCTTCAACGAGACGTCCGTCACCACCACTGCTACTGAAATCCAGTTCAACAGGGTTGTCGATCAAACATGAGGGAACGCTCCTACGTGAGTTGCTCCGTCCTTAGAAGGAAGCGATGTTGAAGCTCTGGGCCCATTTCACTCCCTATCTTACGTATATCAGATCCGGTTGTACGCGCCAATGTACAACTGGAAACAAACCATTCATCCGTAGGGAACTTTCACAGCTGACCTCAAATAGTCAAGCAACTAGTCCAGTGGCAGCACGTTGCACACACTCCAACTTGCTCAGCCCTGCAGGGGTATTTGGCCGTGCTCAAGCCTCAGAGCCCGCTGCAGGATTGCTCGGGTGGCAATACCCATATCAATGGTGGTTTACCCACCTGCCACGCTGATCTCACCTGTATCACTGCAGCAGTTTCCACCTCATCACCCGCAAACGGCTTCTCTATTTTAGACCTCAGCAACCGCCGGTCATGATCTAGTTAGTCCTGAACCATGGGGACTTTTGCCACCAGAAAGTTGACCACAACGACAATGGAACCTTGAAAGAAGTTTCCTCGGCTGTCGAACCTTCTGAAGTGTGCAGGGTACTCCTCAACCGATCGGACAGACTGCAAACATGCGATATCGACGTTGGGGGAACCGATCCCGTTGTTGGTCGTGATTTGTCAGCTGGCGGGAGACGCTGTTTAATCACTGGCTTCCTGCTCTGGGTGGTCTTCGTGAAAGCTTTGTCCCGTGAACTTATGTATCCGATATATAACAGACATTAATTTCCAAAGAGTACATTGTACACGCACACATTGGGGTGGAAGAGTTCCAGGTGTTACAAACTCTGAGGCTGAAAGAATGACGCCTACAGTCTAGCCGACTCTTTTAGAGCAGAAGTTCAAATGGATGTCCTCGGAGATGACCATTCCTGGATAGTGTCAGTAGAGTACTACACGGGTGGTTAGGTTGATGCAGTATTTGATAAACGAGGATCATGTCTCCCCGTATTCGACAGTATTCAGACGAATAGAGACCGAGAATTTGCAGCCTTTCACCGTAGGTTTTGGATTGTAACTCCTCGACCACTTTGGTTGCTGTTCTCTGCGGACGTTCAAGTACCTTTTGGTCGCACAGCATACTCGGTGTGTTCTGATTATAAACGGGGCAATAGGTCTGGTTCGAATGATTCAAAAACACGTTTTAACAGTCCAACTTGTTTTATAGCCTTTGATGACGCTCTTGCGCAATGTGCGGAGCATCCTAGATTCACAAGAACGATAACTCTCAGGTCCTTTTCGTTTAGAAAACGCGGCAATGGCTGAGTTCCAAGTAGGTATGGAAAACGACCCGTGTGGCGCAGCGATACAACCTTGCATTTCTCAACGTTAAATTCGATGTCATTAGTGATAGACCATCAGTAGGGTGCGTCGAGAGTTTACTGCAAGGTTTCATGATCCTCAGGAAAATTTACCGTCCTCCATGTTTTGGCGTTATCAGCGAATGATAATGCCTTTTCTCAAAGGACATTTGGTAGGTCGTTTATGAATGCTAGGAAAAGGCACTCCCCGAGTACGGATCCTGGTGGAACTCCACGGAACAGTAATCGGTCCCGACAGAGAACCATTACCCCGAAAAAATTCCTTAATCCAGTCAAGGAGCAGTCCTCGGACACCGTAATTATGGAGCTTTCGCAGCAACATCTGGTGGTTCTTGATGTCGGAGTTCTTCTGTGATACAGTGTACACAACTTCTTAGGTGACACGTGGAGTGATTGCTGTTGTAGTTCTGCACCTGTCCGTCGTTGTGGCTTTGCGGTACACAATAGTTTTTGTCTTGCTTTCGTATGAGAGGACATCCCAAAAATGGAGCTTCATGTCGTTTTCCTCCTCGCGGGTAGATGCTATTCCTGGCATAACCTTGTTTGGGGCATCATGGAATTGTTTGATTTTTTCTGCCGATAGCACCAAAAGGGTGTCGTCCATATATCGGATCCAGAGACGACGGCGGTATTTTTTAAAGTACTTCATCAGCTGGTTGGTCGGATATTGGCGATCCCACTGGGATTCCTTCCACCTGTCGATATGTCTACCCGTTAAACTGTAGGTGTTTCCATGCAGAGTTCAAGCAGCTCCATGATGTTAGTCACTAATAGTGGTGTTCTTTCTGGAAGACGAGGATTATCTTTTATCAGATTCTGTGTGCTCTACAGCTAGTTGTGTCGATATTTTTGTGAACAGATGTGACGTCAAAGGGCACCATTTTTTCTTTCGGTTTTAGCTTTAATTCTCTTATTCAATATAGGAATGAGACCGAGTTTTTTTTATGCCGTTTTCTTCTGGAGTAGGTCAGTGCAATAAACGGCGGAAATACTGAGCCATCTTATATATATATATATATGTATATATATTACAGGACATCCCCGTTGCGATGTTAAACGACTAGATCGGGTGTATCATGCACCCAGAATGCATGACTGACTAACTGGGCATTGGNCAGCTGAAGGCCCCAGGTGCGAACCCTCTGGAAATAAAATGCTTTGGTTTGGCAACCTTTCAGTATTCTGCTTACGAACAAACTATGGACTGATTTCTTTGTCAAAAAGATTGTGGTATTATGATTGAATTTCCCAACTGTCTGAGTCTAGAAAAACGTGAAACATAATACAGTAGTAGTTAAACGATATTCTGCCAACTATTTCAGTGTCAGAAAAATAACCCATAATGAATTAAATGGAAAGAGAATAATTGAAGTTGGTGGGGAAAGACATTATATTTAGTGAATCGATTTTAAATGAATGAATTGCCATGTACACATGAAGACTGGTGGGGAAGCCAGGATTGCTGGGATGAAATGAATACAAAACACACAGAGTAGTAGTGTCTAAACCTTGGTTAGAAATGCCAAACTGCATATGAAATTACCCCGGGTCAGAGAAGGACGGTGTTAAAACCGGGGGACGATGCACATGTTGTGCAGGATGCCAAATTCAAGAAACAAGCTACTCATCGACGTAGGCTCATGTTACAAGAGACACAAACAGTCTTACATGTAAGTCTTTTGTGGGTCAGTTGAGAAAGTAGAAAAATAAGGAGAATGAAAACAGACANNNNGACAATTCTCTTTGTAGATAACTATCGAGGGAGAGATCCTCCAATAAAGGAGAAGGACAATTATTCACATTAAGATGTACGAGAATCCGCTTCAGGACGACCAGTACCGTTGGATTTCGGTTTGCTCAGCACTTTGCTCAACTGTTTTAACAGCTTCAACTGACTCTGGAAAACAACGAGGAAGGAAATGATTGTCAAAGTGGTATTTTTGCAATAACAAAACAGATAATCATGAACACTGAAACGCGACTAAAGTTTGGGGAATGGAGTACCACGAACTGAAAACTTATACTGGTATCCCTCTTTAGATGAACATTATCACTAGGGGACAACGAACAATTAGCCCAATTTTGTAGGCCGAGCGGAAGCCTGAGCTATAAAGTCCATCATAATTACCGCATGAGACAGACGAGGAAATTTAGGCAATCATACAATGCATTTTTATTTCATGTGCGGATAGTATTTAACGAACTGGTGGCAAGCAAGCTTTGATACAGAGCAAATCCAGGCAATTGTGCGTTTCCCATGACATAAGACAAACACGCTATCACAGCTTGTTCTATCGACACAGTGAGAAAGGGACGCACGATGACAGAAGTTAAGATCTACAACAGAAAATCGAAGCTCTAACTTACTTTGTGTCTATTCACCGGTTCGGGCTGGAAAAGTGAAGAATTGGAAGCGATACAAGTGCTCGAATACGAAATAAAAGTAAGCTTGAAAACGAATGAAACGCGAATCTCAATGAAAGCACCTATTTTTGATGTAGTAGTCCAGTGTAAGGAGAACAACAAAGAAACTGAAAACAACCTAAAAATAAATAACACCCAAAAGGCAAAGAGGGGATAAAACAGGGCATGCACCAGATGTCGTACTGTGGAATCGGACTTAGATCGCTGAGTGAACTGAAAACGGCAAAGAGATCAATTTGTAAAAATTTAAACTTGTATACAGCTGACAGTAAAACATGTAAGATACTGGTCGTTTCGATAAACTATAAAGAACGATGTTCGAATTCCGTGTTTTTGAGGGTTAACAGTTGAATGAATTTATACATTTACTCATCAAGATTGAACAGAAAACTGAAATTCTGTGAGCGCGACCACCCAACAATATTTAGCTCTACCGCTGTAAGGGAGTCAAATCAAAAAGCGTCGGAATATTCTGAGGTTCAAAAATGTCAACAAAGTTTTATACAAAGGATGACGTTGCAAAGCCTGACGAACAGACGAGGTGCGGCGATCGTGTGCCGCGCAGTTGACCTTAGCAATGTCAAACGCTAGGCCAAAAATCGACTGGATAAAGCTTAAATGATGCCCCGTATAGCCGAACCATTCGGTAGGTCCCACATGACTGCAGTGATAACAATGAGGCAGTTTCTCATGTACTCCTTTCACATCATCTCGTTTACGAGTATCTTCCACAACTCTCAATGTTTCGCGCTGGTTAATTTGAATATTATTATTATTATTTATTTCCACATACGTCTGAGTTCAGACTGTGCCAAAAAATACCATACAATATAATCATTGTAAAAAGACAAAAGTTTATGATTTACTCGGGGGTGTGATACTGCTAGGTTTCAAAGACCAAAGCAACTGAGTTTTATTAGGGAATTCATAACCGGAGTCTTCGGTTAACCAAAGCCAGACACTCAATGCAGCGGGGCGGTGTGTGAAAACCGTAATCTGTTGGGGCCCGGTGTCTAGTTCATCGGATAACATGCCCTTTGGACGGGGTCAAACGTCCAACGTACCCAATAATTCTCGTATAGGAGCATTCCACCAAGTGCAAGGGATAGGAGACCAGAACCCAGAGGCAACCACTCCCGACAATACTGAGGCTTTCACGAAGGTGAAAGGATGAGCTCTCTTTTGTATCCACACTGTGAGATGCACACAATGTCGGGTTAGGTACGACAAGACGCGCTACTCCTGTCAGTAAAAAACGTTGAAGTAACATGGACAGCATACTGTTTTGCATTCACAAGTCCTGATGAAAAAATAAAAGCTTGCTGTTTCTTAGCTCCGTTTAAAGTGGATACATTGACATTGAGCTTAGTCGACAACTAGAACTGTCACTAGTTCATTCATTTCGCAACATTTGACGCCATCACAACGGTTAACCAAGCAGTACCTCGTTTTGTCACCAAGGTTTGTAACATCAACCTATGTAAAAACAATTTCCTCACTCATGGACCTGGGAATATTCTGACAGTCCTTGGATTTGGCTCATCTGTAGCGCCATGGTTAAAGGTTGATGGGTGTTGTTCACAGAAATGGTGATAGTGTATTATACTACTTATAGTAAACTTAAACGCGAACCAGAAAAAGTGACAGGGGCAGGATTCCATCGAAGGAGAACTGCAATATTATTAGAGGAATCGATAAACTGGTAAGGCGTGAGATCCATACAAAAATCCAGTAAACCAATCGGGCTATCTGTTTTTGTGCATGTGAAGAAAATTACAGTTATTCAATTCAGTATGGGATAACAAATGAATTCGACCCTAGCCTGTTACCACCAGATATTTGCGTTGACTGATTCACTTCAGGAGTTCACGTATTATAATGACCAAATAAGAAATTACCGGATACGCATACCTCAATGGCGGCAAGAACCGCGAGAGCTGTCATGTGTTTCTGGAAAATTTAGTCCAGTCATTGATATACTCCTCATTATTGAAAACACTAAGAATCGTACCTGGAGTCGAATAGGCTGAGGTTGGTCGCAACTAACCCACAACATTTACCACAGAATCAAAGCAACGATTTCTCCAGGCATGTTCGTCTCAAAATCAACGGAAGTTGTTTCGCGAAATTACAGTGGAGAAAAGTTTAGTTCTCGCTTTTAAACAGATTCAGTGAGTTTTCAAGGTCACATTTTAGTCTACAGTTCCAGGCTTTGGAAATCGTCGTGTTTGACACTGCGTGATCGCTAATTCACCCTTTTAACTTATTCTACAAGAGATATAAGCTTTATGATGTTATTAATATAGTACATCAGGAGGAATGCTGCAATGTGGGATTCATTCTCTCCCAGGATAACTGGCTACATCCAGACATCGGAGAAGGCATCGTTCAACTCGATGGGTTTGATATTATGCCAGATCGAAATGTGAAATTTGTGAACGTTTACCTACTTGTCAATTCAGTGCTGGAAAAACGTCCATTTTTTTATAGTAGGCTCCGTTTCCTTAGTTGCTTCATCATATTATTTTAGCTAACATTTACAACATTCCAGACACTTCTGCCTCTCATATTAGATTGAGTTTTTCCTTCACACGGCTTGCGCCACATTTGGGCTAACCTTCGCGTGTTGCTCCTGTTGATTTCGCTTCATCTGACATCTTTTGGAAAAATGCTTCAGTTTCAGTATGTATAACTATTAACCATGCACTTTCGTGCACCGGTTCTAGTTGCCCATTTAGATGAAAAATAAAAGAACAACAGAGAGGCTGAAAGTAGAGTCGAACAAAAAAGTGGAGAATTTCAGTGGTCCAAGGTTGAGAAGAAATTGAGATGCACGAACGCCACTGTTTACGACACCC